CACCCCCCACATCGTTCCTGATGGGCAATTGGCTAGTAAATTAATAATTATAAAACATTAAAATAACAATTCTTGAAACTTTTATAAATTTCGTTTTTAATGACTGAAACTTTTTAAGCCTATCAGAAAACTTTTATTATTGTTATTTATGTATTATGTCTCAGAAAAGTAATTGGTTAAATGGCTCATACAGAATTAATATATGTGCTTCATAATACAAGAAAATCAAAGATTAATCTCTCTGTGTGGTAAATGGGAGAAGGCTTGGAAACCGTCACTGATATATAAATAATACTTTAGGGTCTTATGATTTTTGGGTACAATATGTGAGGAAAAATTCACCTTCTTCCTAATGCAGACAAGTTTCTTTGGGTGAATCTGATATCTTTTATTAGACCAACTTAAATAGTTGGAAAACAATTATTAAGCAAGCTTTTGGGTTCAAAAACCCTTTGTCAGGCTAAGGAAGTTTCAGCAGTTGGTGTGTGCTCTTCCTGGATGGAATGAAAAGTAAAAAAGCCAGAGGCTGGGCTGGTATGCACACAAGACTGGTAGTCAGTGAAAATGTAGATTGAGGAGTCAATGGGTGAGAGACAGGCTGGGGAGGGGGGCGGAAGAGTAGGGGGATGAATAGTGGAGAGATACCTGGGGAGTCAGATGTCAGGCAGGTTATAATGTGTCATAAATCCAATGTCTAAATTTAGTCCATGATTTTTAGTGTCCAGGAGGTTGATGAAGTGCAGTGCATAGGCTCGTCTTTGGGAGGTGTTTTGTAAGTTTCCTTTGAGGATCAGGACTGAGAGATTGGAGAGAGAGTGGTTTTCTTGTGAGAAATGTGCCCCCACCGGTAATTGGGTATTTCTGTCTTTGATAGATTTCCGGTGTGCGTTCGTTCTGGTGCGCAGTTGTTGTTTGGTCTCTCCTACGTATTTTCCATCAGGGCACCGTCTTCCTAATGGATTCCAGATTCCAGCATATTTGCAGGGCCCATTTAGAGGTTTTACTCTTGTGTAGTCTTATTGCAGACCATTCTTGTAAAATTGCATGCAACAGTAATTCAAACAGGCAGTCAGACCTAAATCATTGCTTGGAAAGGAAAACTTTTAAGAAATTACATACATTTTGGGATGCAGTGTTGGGAATACATAAATAATATTCATGACCTTGAATTAGCTCTAAAATAATGCTGGGCATTTGAGTAAATGGAATTACCAACTTCCTGTTCATTTATATAACTGAGATTCTGACTTATTGTGGTTTACTGTTCCCATGGCACTTTATAAAAGAATAAGGACTTTGGCTGTGATGCTCTGATCAAGTTTCAGTGGGAAATTCCTCTCATATTGAAGTCAGTTGCACTGATTTCAGTGGGAATGTGAAAAAGCATATTTTGCAAATCCAATATTCCCCATTAGTTTGGATTAGATAAAACAATATTTATTTTGTCCCAAACCAGTGGGAAGCATTGTTATGTGCTATTAAATATCTGCTTCCTGTTACTGAAGAGACAGATGTATTTCTATGGTGAATGGAGTATCCTTTTTGCCATATATATTACATAGAACATGTTACAGTCATTGTACAAAACAGCACTGTGTCACCAGCACTGTACTAGCATCACTAATATTACTCTAAGGATATTTGCATATATTGCCCCAAGATCTCTGTGGCAATAGTGGCCCAATTTGGTGAGGGTCTTATTAGCAGGGATCCTGGCTTTCCCTGATTAAAAAAATAAATAAATCACAAATTCTCTGATAAAAGATAGCAAATTCTCTGAAAAAAAAATAACCCATGATTAAAATGAAAGGTCCCTCACTGCTTCCCCAAAGCGCCTTGGCCCTGCTGGTCTCCCTCACTCCCACCCCCCAGCCCCCTGGCCCTGCTCATGCCTCTCACTCTCCAGCCCCAGCTCCCTGGCCCTGTTGGTGCCCCTTGACCCCCATCCACAGCCCCTGCCGCACCAACCCTGTCAGAGGGGGCCCCCAGCTGCCAGGACTCTAGGTCCACAGCCCCCTGCCCCTCACACAAGGCAGGTGCTGCAGTGGAGCAGAGCCCAGCTCCCCACCTGCTGCCTGCCTGCTGTGGGCTCAGGCAAAGGGTGGGCCGGCTCCCCGCTGTGGCACACAGTCCTGGCAGTGGAGGCACTTTCCTGTGTGGCTCCACTATTGCCTGCTGCAGCAAGAGGTTGCACCTGCCAGGCTGCAGAGGGTAGCAGGGCAGGAAGCTCAAGCCGCCCTTACCCCCGCCCTGCATAGGGATCTGGAGGGCATGGGTCCCCACTGTCCCCCCATGAGCGCATGCAGTGGCAGGGAGTTGGCCCCACCCTTCCTGCCAACAGACAAGCTGTCTACGGCCCTGTCCCACTGCCCACTGGGGCCCTGCAGCTGCACATTGCGGCCTTGGGCCCCAAGCCCCATGCACCACCAGGTTGGGCAGCAGCCCCAGCCCTCCCAACTCTCTCCTAATGGGGGCTCTAATTCCCCCCAACTTACCTGCATGATCTGCTCTTCAGGCTCCCTGGAGCCATGTGCATATACATGCAAGTGGTGCCTCCTGCCTAACCACCCTCCTCCCACTCTCTCCAGGCCTCTTTACAGGCTGGAATTCTGCCAGCCAGCAGAGAGCTCTTCGCGAACGTGCAAAATCTGTGGGTTTGCTCCAGTAAAAGGGAAATCTGTGTTTTTCTCTGTTTTCCCATGGGAAATGGAAAACCTGGGTCCCTGCTTATTATAAACTTACTGGCCATGTCCACATGAGTGTGGACATTTGTTTCTCTTGTGACTTGTGCCACTGCTTCTTGTTCCCAGGGAACGCTCATACTGTGCACCCTCTAGCATGCAGCAGGTTACCGTGGGTGAGGTAGGGGAAGGCTGGGGCCACAAGCCTTACCTGCGGTCCTGGGGCCTAGGCAGCTGCAGCTGCAATAGTTCTGCAGCTGAGAGCCTGGTTGGCAGCCAGAGCATGGCTCTGGCTGGCCAGGCTCCGGTTTCAGGGTGCACACTGATGCCACATATGCTGCCCCATTTTTTTCTGCCTGGGTTCTGTAGGGCATCAGTGCAGGGAATTCCTGAATGCGCAGTGTGTGGTGCCACAGATGGGTCTGTAGCACCACATACTGCAGGGCCACATACTGGACAGGGCCATTGTGGTCATTAGGTAGAATTTTACAATCATGTCAGTGATATTCACAATATTCCCTTTATTTAGTAAGAAATATTTATAGTTTAGCATCTGACATAACACATCATTAAGTCCTCTGATGCTCCTTATATTAAACTTTCACACTGAGAGTTGGGTTGCTTTCATTTGCTTCAGCTCTCATTTTCAAAGTTCTTCTTTTTAACCCACTCTTCTTTCCTTTTTTGCATATGTCATATCAGAATATCCTCAGTGTCAATAATTATATACAGAGCAAATTCCCTCTACATATGGCTCCTTCAGCTCCTTATTCTCTTGTTCACGAAAAGCTCCTATTGACTTCCAATCAGTTGCCCAGGGTTTGTGATGACAGAAATTGACCCAGAGAGAATTTGGCCAAATTTTGTTTTGAGACATCAAAGAATATTGGGTTTCTGCATGTGATTCAAACAGAATTATTGATGAAGTCAAAGAAGGATTAACAAAAGTGCTGGTAGAGCCATGGCTGTGAGTTCACAACTGGTAGAAGCCCCTGAACTCTGATGTGCCATTGAACGCTGGATTTTATGTTGACTTTTAGGGCTCCCTCAGTCTTTGTGGATTTAAGACCTAATCCCTATTCATCTGGCTTTGTATCAAGAATATGAAAATATTTTCTCAGTTGGGAATTCACTTTCATCAGTTGCCTACCAGAGTCTGTTGGCCTCTAGGACATGGTGTAAAGCTCTTATTTTCCCCTGAAGCTTTAGCTTCCATGGTTAATTTTGATAGTGGTATCTAGGTTAGTGAGAGCCTTCCAAAGTTACTATACATGTTATTTTATCATTGACCATGCCTCAAAGATTATTTAATAGAAATATATCAATCAAAGAAAATTATGAAAAAACTCAGCATCTCTTTGTAAGATCTTTAATTTTATGAATGTGGATGTTTTTGAAAAGTCCTCCCTTTTGTGTTGGAGCAAATAAAAATTCAAAATGTTTGTTCTAAAAATAAATTGTGGTTATGAATCTGAGTGCTTAGGCTTACACACAGTTAAACCTTCAATTCATGTTTCTCTCAACCCACAGAAAGTAAAATTCCTATTTGACATAGGTTTCTTTATAGCAGAGGAAGTGGCTATAGATATTGAGCTCAACTGACATCCCTGCATAGAAAGGGACAGAAAGGGTCAAATCCCATTCTATCTATTAATCATGGAAAGGAATTTAGGTGCCTAAATATGATTCTTTTCCACCCACCCCTTGTCTCTGAAAAACTGGCACTAGAAAAGGTAGGTTGAGTCAGGAAGGAGCTTGTTCCTCCTTGTTAATGCTTTGTTGTCTTTTGAATTTTCTTCACCTTCCTCAGTAGCAGTTAATATTGGTAAAATTTCTGGGTGGTGGTGTACTGGTGCTCCTGCTCGCACTTAAAAACTTCCTAGGGACCTAGCTAGAGAATCCCATTCTTCCACTCAGGGCCAAACCAACTATCAAATTTGGGATCAGCAAAATATTTTTATTCTAGGTCAGATTGACAAGGACATTTGAATTTAATGCAATTTCTGCCTGTAAGTAGGGCTGACTAGGAGACAATTTTCCTATCATTTGAATTTTTTTTTCTAGTTTTCAAAAGTTTACCTTTACTGACTTAGGATTAAAAAAATGCAAAACTTACAAATTTGAGAGAACTAAAATGAAAAAAAAAGTTAAGCTTGGGTCACCAAAATGTCTTGTTTTCAATTTTATCATTTTTACTATTAGTTTATTTCACAAAATGACTGGTTATTTCAAATTGAAAAATGGAAAGTTTTCATTTGAAATATGTTAAAATGAATTATTTCAACTATTTTTACACTTTCTTTTCAACATTTTTTCCAGACATGAAATTCACAGAAACCAAGTGCTCCCTATGAAGAGTTTCAGTAAATCAGCATTTTTCAACTAAAACATCTCACTGAAAAAATCTCTTACAAGGGATGCCTAAAGCACTTTGGTACTTCTGAAAATTTCATCCATAGGTATTTAAATATGGGTTTTGATGTCCTAAAATTGGGCTTCTTTTTTGAAAATATTAGCCAGTGTACTTAAAAAGTTCATAATAAATGTACCAATGCAAAATCAAAATAACATCATTGTTTTTGCCGAATAATTTTTTTTTAAATGAAAGAAATTGTATGTTGGGGAACGAAATGCTATTGATAAAATTTTATTTTTGATGATTCTGACACTTACGTACATGTTTAAATTTAAGCCTATAAACACTATAATAAAGTCATTGGAAATATACATGTAAAAAAATGATGCATCTGTTGAAGAAATTGCAGAACTGAGGCCTTAATTTCCTGGGGGTTTTTCCAATACCAATTTATAACATTTAAATCAGCAGCCCCAGCTCCTAGAACTCCTTGCTTGTACTTGTTTGGTGGGTGAGGGGAATAACTTTTTACAAACAGTTTTCCTTACCAGCTTACTCCCTGGTCTCATATCTGGCATGTACAACGAAGAGTCACTGTGTTCCCAGCCCTTCCACCCCACTCGCTATTACAAAAGTTTCCTCCGAAAGGAAACAATGTACTAGAAGCCCCTGTAGTCCCATAAGCAGGCTTTGTTCCGGGTGGGCTGGAGCAGGCTTGCTTGGACGATGCAAATAGTGAGATGCTTCTTCCCCTCCCTCACACTACATGGTCACATACTGAGCCGGGGGCATTATCTAGCCTCAAGTATTTTTAGCCACATTAATTGAAACAAGCAAAAGAATTTCCATGCCTCTGATTTATATGTTAATCAGGCTTCCCAGTAAATGACAATAGCCTTTTGTTCTTTCCTCTGGATAGTTCGCCCTTTCATATTAGTGCATGTGTGTCATTTGATTTTGTGCGTGCACTTCTAGTCCCCTGTATAGAATTACCATAAAGATCATCTTAAGCTCCCTTTTCATCAGGATAATGCTGTTATTAAAAATTTTGTGTAACCTCTGTGGTATCAGGAAATTCTGTGAATATATGTCACCATTAGTAAGTAGCTAAAAAGGCTTTTTGTAGCTGGTAATGGATGTCAAAGTCCTTTATCTTCAGGATTTAAAAAAAAAACCTGTTTCTCCTCCAAGTCTATCAATTCATGTGGAAATAACATTTAAACATGTACTTTTCAAAGCTGATTCAGAGAGAAATGCAAGGCTTATACCTATAGGATCATTTTTAGCACAGGAGTTCTCATTTTTCCAGCTAGTCTATCCACTGTATGGTTAAAAAGAGGAATAATCATGAGCACACAGTGTCAGAAGGCTGCTTCCTCTATGATCACATGTAGTCTGCAAGCTTGGAATTCCTGCAGCCATGGCCTCAAATGTGTCAGTTTTCTACTCCCCACCTCCCAGCCCAAAAGCAGCATGGCCACATCTAAGCAATGTCAAAGGCAGTGTTGGCACTAGATTTATGACTCAGAGGCCTTGTTCCAGGGGCCCGAGGGGGGGGGGGGTGTCCCTCAGACTGACCACAACCTTTCCATTCAGTAATAGGCAAATGTATGAAAGAGGCTGGTGGTATGCCCTCTGTCCATGGTGCCTCAGGAACCCTTTTCAGGGACCCCTGCACCATGGACAGAGGGCATACCACAAGCCTCTTTCATCCACCCCACTGGTGGGGAGGGGGTGGGCCTCAGCCTCTTACCTCCAGGATGCTTACATCTAACATTCAAGAGAGAATTTCAGAGTGAAGCTTATGTCCTGGCCGGATATATCCTGACTATGATTGCAGCCCTAGGGTTGGTAGCTATAGAATTGCTTGTATTATTCTTTTCTGCTATCACTGTGTATCAATACATTTCCCTATTATTGACGGGGAGTCCCTCAGACTGACCACAACCTTTCCGTTCAATAATTGTTTTTCTAAAGTCTCTGCTTTTATATTCTTTTTCCCTCCTGATGACTCACCATCCATAGCTATCGCTGATTGGTCTCTTTGTGGTTGTCATACTGTTCACATTCAGGCTATGTGTATATCCATTGGCCTTGTTGTGTTAGAGATCCTGTCTGCCTTAAAGGCTGTGAGAATTGTGTGAGTATGTGACCAGGCCTTTAGAAATCAATTAACCTTTGTTGCTGCCCTAGACATTTAATGCGTATAAGCCAATTCCCAAAAGCAACCCTCTAAATACCCTTTTCTAGCCATCACTTAGCACTTCTGAGTGTTCGTACCAGATAGCCCATCAGTGACCCACAGACATAGATACACTTCTTCTGGACCAGGGGATGAGAAACTCTATGGCACACTGGAGGGCATGCTGTTGAGCACAGTAAGTTTGTGATCTAGGTATGGCTGGCATTTTCCTCATCAGGTATATTAGCTTCAGATCAGCACATCCTAAGGAGACTGTTTCCCCATTATTTCTTTGAATGGTATAATATACGGGTCTAGCCCCCAAGGCCTTGAGTTTCAAAGGCCCACAGGGGCCTGTCAGGATCTTTAAACATCTAAATACATCATGTAGGCATCACTGACAATATTGAAACCACCACTTAACTGCTGTCCAAACCTGCAGGCACCTACATTTTTACTCACAGACATGCACAAAGCCATATAAGCACTTATACCACAGCATGGCTACAAAGTTTTTCAGAGCTGTAGGCTAAGCCAAAGTCCTGGAGGCCCCTTGAGAAGCAGGATCCTCAAATTAGGAATTCTTCCACCTGTTTTGCCAGTGCAGCCTGGTGCTATAGGCATACTTCAAAGTACACTCAAGCTGGTTCAGCATGAACAAAAGAGACAGAGATGTAGGCACTCATCTGTTCTAGTGATTATGGCACTCAACTAGGATATGTGAGTTTAAGTGCCTGATCCAAATCATGCACAGCAAGACTTTAAATTTGGGTCTCCAATCTCTCTGTTGAAGTTATTCCATTTTTTATACATAATTCAATATCTATCAAAGTAACTTGCATTTCAGTTGGCACATCTACATGTTCATTCATGCACTTTAGGTAATCTAGTACCTCTATTGTGAGGTACTATAAAAATGTGCATTAGCCTATTTTAATGCACATTAGATAAAGAGAATGGATTTCTGTAATGCTTTAATGTGTATTAAAATAGGCTATTGCACATTAAAGCATACGTGTAGATGCGCTCAGTTTCTCAATACTACAGACAAGTGTCTCTCAACAGTCTGGCATCATTTTGAAGAGTCATTTTGAGTAACTAAGCTCACACTTTCAAGAAGTTTTCCTGGCAATCAGCAAACAGAGCACAACTGGCTGAATCAGAGAAGTACTGAATAGACAGATATGTGGAGTTACCATGTACTCGGTGATGTTACTTATATAGTATACCTTCAGGGATTCCAGTTAGAGATTGGTTCTATCTCTTGTAAATGTGTTGTGGGCAACCTGCTTGGTCCCTGTCTACCCTGTACACTGGGTGAGAAAGGAAGAATTCTGTTATCTCCTGGACGTGGAGCCATGTTAATAGGGAGCACAAGAGGCATATGGCCACATAACTGAGCCACAATTCTGTCTTTGTAAATTTTGCCCCAAAGTCTGTTCCTTTAATGGCAAAATCATTTGAGACATCTCTCAAACTTGCTCAACTGGGCACACTAAGAACCCTCATTGGGGTTCCCATTAATGTCACTGAGGTCTTGGGTCCTTAACACAGCAACGTTCTGTTTCTCTTTAGTAATCCTAATTAAAGAGCTGATCTTTAAAGCTTCATTGTAAGTCTGCAGGGTTTACTTCTCCCTGAACAGCTTCTACATGACCAGGCAAACAGTTTGCAAATATTGGCCACTTTGCAGCATGTCAGCAGATTTTCCGTGTTTCCCACAGCTGCCATTTAAGTATAACACCTCATAGTCAGCATCTGTCGTAACTAGCCTAGAACAGTTGGCTGCTTATAGACGTTAAAAAAACAAAATAAAACATGTTTTACTGGAAGCAGCAGTGCACTACTTCGACTTGGCTCCATAGCATCTGTATAGATATTTCATAGATATTTCATAGACTTTAGGGCTGGAAGGGACCTCAGAAGATCATCGAGTCCAGCCCCCCTCCCAAAGGGCAGGAAGTCAGCTAGGGTCATAGGATCCCAGCAAGATAAGCATCCAATTTGCTCTTGAAGGGGTTCAATGTAGGTGCTTGAACCACCTCTGATGGCAGGCTGTTCCAAACCTTGGAATTCTTCCTTATGTCCAGCCTGAAACGGTCTTGCAGTAGTTTATAACTGTTCAACCTTGTCATCCCTTGGGGTGCTCTGGTGA